ATCCCTGAGAAAGCCACCGAATATTTACAGTTTTAGGTTAAAAATAGATAAATCTGTTTAAATTTAAATCAATGTAAATATTAATGAATAATCGTATGTTACATACATAGATATATACAGTATACTATATGATGATTAAATATAAATAAGAAATGTTTATAATTTTTTTCATTAAAAAGTACATTTGTTTTTAGCAAAGGACTAACGACCTCTGATGGCATTAAAAAATCAATCAATTTTCCTTTTGTATATTCTCACACTCACCTGTAAGCTTCTATATAAATAGTTGAGTAAATAGTAAATTCTGTTTAATCTGTTTTAATTTTATAAGTATGATTAAATTTTGTAATGTTTTCATGTTATAAAATGTTATTTTATAGATTAATCTAAATAGTTTCTTTTGTTTAAGTCATTATCTTGTAACATAGCAGTTCATAAGCCTAGCTATTTATTTTTCTATTATTTTTGAAAAAGTATTTAATTTTAAATTTTTTGGGTTAAATAAAAAATCAAACATTTGTTTTAAAAATGAATACATTCATAATTTTGATACATTTTTGAACATTTAGTAGCTCATAGAGTTACTAAGCATTTTTAAGTTTTATAAAGGTTCATAAAGTTTATAACCTCATTTCTATATATCAATAACATTTTTAAAAATGTAAGAATTATATAATAATACTTAAGCCTATAAAATCATAGTTATTTATATTAAGATATTTTAAAAGAAACATATAGTTGGAAGAGTTAAAGATATACTGTATTTATTTTTTCTTGTGAAATTCTATTGGAATTTATGTCCTATTTTTTCTACATGAAAATAATAAGGTATAGAAATGTAAAAAGTTTAATAGTATTATATTTAATATATTTACATAAATGTTCTGTCCTAATAATTGTTTGTAATTTTGTTTAATAATGCCCTCAACTATGACTATTAAGCATAAAGTTTTTTGAAAAACATTGATTATAAAATTGAACTTTTATTAGGAATATTATTATTGTATTATTTAAAAAATATAGAAAAATTACATTATTTACTATTAGGCCTATATAGCTTCACAAATAAAATGCTAACTAATTTTTTATTTTCTATTAAAACATTTGATATTTAATGCTGTTCTTTTATAAATTATATTTTATATTTGATATTACTGTTACTTAATATTAATATGAAAATGTAAGTAACTAATCAGAAGTTAGATGTGTCTGTATAACAATTTTTTATACCTTACAAAAAAAATTAGATATAATTAGATATTTGAAATACTTGTGATATTTTAATAATATGATGTGATATTAATCATTTGTATGTTGTTGAACAATTTTTGTTTTTGAAAAATTCACATATGCTATTGACTGGGTTTTAGAAGAATAGAATTAATCTCTGTTTGTTGTTGTTGTTTCATTTGATTGTATAGAATTGGTACTCCCAAAATAGTTGATAAGGCATTTTTAGGGGTTGATTCATGATGTTTTATTAAAAATTATTAATCTAATGGAATATGTATATAACAGTTCAAGATGCAAATTTGCATTCTTATGTAAGTAGATCCTTTTTATGAGAATGGTGTTTAGATAGATTAATACTGGTTTAGCAAATTTATATATATATATAATCCATCATTATTATTATTACTGCTATTATTAATTGTATTAGCAAAAAAAACAACTAGATGGGTTGATAAAAGGTTGAGAAATTCTTGAGTCACCCAACAGTCCAAAAGTTTGGGGACTCCTGGTATTGATGTATTACTGTTTTTATTTATTTGTATAACAAAAAGTTAAGATTATTATGACAGTCTTCAGTATAGAATTTAAGGGAAAGGGGAAAACTTGATGTAAGGTAACAGTTAGGTATTATTTTCAAAATAATTATATTTGCTACTACCTACATATGACTATTTACAGTTTAAATTCTTTGTTAATTTCTATTTAAACAATTAAAAAATTTAGAAACAAATTGTTATAATATTATAATTATTAATTTAGATAAGAGATGGTGCCTAATATCTACTTCTAATACCAAATCTTATAATCAAGATGGGTTGATAATAACAATACTAGTAATAATAAGTGCAAAGCCCAAATGATTAAGAGTTGAAAGTTGAAATTTTGTACACTGTGTACATCACAAGAATGAACACGTAAGAAGGGATTTTTGGAAATTCCTCTCATGCGGGAGAGGGAGAGGGTTAAGGATTATCCTGAAGAACTTAGCTTTTACTGTACTATTTTAGATGCGTTTTTGCAGGAAATTGAACATATTTTTGACCCATCTAAAATTTCTCTAATTAGTCTTGGAAGAGGGGAGACCTAATTTTTGCACCCAGTGAAAATGGGTAAGATCAGCTATAATCTAATAATCTTAATCTTTGTTATTGTTACTTTTTTTGCCTGAGCTATGCTAGGCTTGTCTGCTAGTTATTTAATATCTAATCATTAATAATAGCAAATTTATAGCCCAATTAATTACAGAGATTGTTTGGTTAAATATCAATATATCAGGCTTCGAAAAGTTTATTATATTATTTAGAAACAAACAGGTAATCACATAATTTTAATTCAAATATCTAAACATAAGTGGTGTATTTTTATTAAGTGCTTATATTTTTAATTTTAATTTTGTTTCTGTATGATGTTTTATGATTTAATGATGATTTTAGAATTTCATATTGTAATATAAATAAATAAAAACATATATATTTATTGTTTACTAAAGCATCAGTTAATTATATTTATAACAGGTTGTTTTAAAGGTGAAATTTTGACATTTTGAAGAAATGTTGTTGACAATTAATGAGGATTTACAGTTCAGTCTTATAAGTAATTACCATCAATATCGAGTATATCTTGTCACCTTTGCTGCAAACTTTCAATCCTATTAGCATAGAATAATTTGGATAAGAAAGTCTTAAGTATCATTCTTGCATGGATATTATCATTGAACTGTATATTTGTAATATGGTTCTGTACGGTGTGAAATAGTTGGTAGTCAGTTGGCTCCAAGTCTGGCTGTAAGATAGATAAGGCAGATTGGCCGGCTTCTGTAAGCTCATTTTTGCTCTATATACTGATGCATTATTGTTATGGTATCAGACTGTCAACTTTTGGAAAATATGGGAATACTCAAGTTGTGCTGATTTTCTGGTGATTCTCCCATGAATGATAAATAATAATCATGGATTATTGTTTATCATTAATGGGAGAACATCAAAAATGGTGGAATATCTGCACTGTAGTACTGTAACACCAACTCGTATCTATAAACCTTTTACCGGTGCACATAAGATAGAGCACACCATGCATAACACGCAAGTCCGTAGTGATGTCATCGAGTCAGGACATAGTTCTGGATTGTATTTCGTAACAACTTTGAACCGCATTCTGTTAGGGGATTGTTACCTGAAGAAGAACCATAACGGTTCAAAAATGTTTGTAACTGTTGTAAAGTGGGATGATACACGCACCAATAAAAGGTTTATAGATACGAGTTGGAGTGGGAGAATGTCATCGTCAGTGGTGGAATTGCTGCATGGATGGGGTTCATCTTGAAGTGAGACATCTCCATTTTTGAATTTCTTGAATCAGTCGTAGCAATTCTGTCTGTTGACTGTGTCCTTGCCAAATGTCTTGCAGATGAGATTGTGAACCTCGTATTGTGGCCACTTCTGAAATGATACCAGAGCATGCAAACATTTCTTTCAAAAGTTTTATATAATCAAACGTGCTGATGTGTCTCTTTTCAAAGAAATATGTGATGAAATGCTCCCTGGTTACTCTAATTTTATATGATATACAGGGTGCTTCAAAATGAGTAGAACAATTTCATATTGTTATATATATTTCATAAATTGTCAAAACAAGATGTAACTTCATACAAATCTAATGGAATTGTTCCAAGTTTAATTGTCAGTTGGTAACATGAAGCTGGATATCACATGCTCAGTGGGAGCTTTGTTATTCTCCAAAGGTCCACTGGTGTTAGGTGCTGAAACAACTATACTTGATAAGGGTGCATTTTTAAATGCTTACATAGTATACATCATACACTTGTTTTAGAAATTGCAAGCTCCCAGTTCACTCTTGTTGAAGACTTTCAAGGATTATGCTGAAAATATGTTTTAATTCTCTTCACATTGGTCTCAGAAGTTGATGTTCTCCCAGTCAATTTACCATCTTTGAATAGAGTTCTTTGCTGGTGGCTCTTTATGAAATCATGTATGAAATTGATGTTTCACACTCGATACTGACCTACTCTAGTGAAATTGTAAGATGCAAAATGCTTTCCTCTCACCACTGGCAACCATTTTCATAATTAGTCTGCCTGCTGCCTGGCAGAAGAATTATTACTACTGGGCCAGTTCATAAATAAACTTGAGGATGTGTTCCAATGTATTTCACTGGATATTTGGTTGCTGGTGGTGTATTCCTGATGGAATGTGTTATTATTTAAATCATTTTAAACAATCAAAACTTCTTCCAAAACTTCAAACTATGAGGCGTTAAATATAATTAAAAATATTTTAATCTTGCGAGCGCTTTCAACGTAAATATGCACGTCGTCTTCAGGCAATTCAAAATCGAATAAAATCATTTTAAACACCTCACATATATATATTTAGACATTTCAATTTTTTTCTAGAAACAGCTGGAAAAAATGTTCTAGAATGTTTGATGTGAATATATAAATAGAGTAACCAGGGAGCATTTCATCACATATTTCAGAGGAAATAAACGCATCAGCAATGTGAATTTAATACTGTATATACAGGTATACCTCGCCTTACGTCGGTAATTGGTTCCAGGAAAACGACGTAAGTCGAGGTATGCCTGTATAATTAATGTGCAAGATAAATGTATAAAGACTATGCTTGGTTGTTAGAACTTCCATTTTATTAAAAGTTCATTAAAAGTTAATTTACAGATTTTTTTTCACATTACTCTAGTAATTATTTTTTTAATGCTTTATTACTGTTTTCAAATGGATAAGTTCTGGGTTATCTAAAATAAAATCAGTTTGAAATCAGGTGCAGGTTATGCAATGGTATTGCTTGTATGTTTGTTTTACAACTTGAAATTTGTTATGAAGTAATTAAATAGTTTTTCTCCTTATCTAAAGTCATTAAGACCATTGTCAAAAAATGTGCAAAATCTTTTGCACATTGCATACATATGCATTTGCCACTGGCATATTAAGAAAATTTGCACTGTTAATGTGCCATTAATAAAATACAAGCCAACCAATGCTGTATGTTATCAGACTAGATATCGGCTATAATACTAATAAATTATGAAACAATTTGGTACTAGAGGGAGACATTAGGTGCCATCTCTTAATAAATTTAATAATTAAAAATTATAATTAAATAATTTAAATAATACAGACAACTGGAAGAAAAGAATCGGCCTGGAGCGTGACTCGAACCCACAACTCCTACTTACCATGCAGATGCGTTGCCAATTACACTACCCGAACCTCCAGTGCGATCTCCTCTTTCAGTATATATAACATTATATTGCAACCATTGTGGTTATTACGTGCCTGCTGGGGATGCATTCAGCGCCCACCTCCTGTAAACACCTCCTAAGGCATTCAACCGGCCATTGCAAATCCTTGGTAAGGCATATATATAAACACACAACAACATTACAACCCAATACATTGTAAACTATATAAACTACAAGCCAACCAATGCAAGAGTGGGACTTGAACCTCCATGTTATCTAGCACGATAACATACGGGTTCAAGTCCCACTCAGGGCCAATTCTTTTCTTCCAGTAGTCTAAATTATTTAATTGAAAATTATAATTATTAAATCTATTAAGAGATGGTGCCTAATGTCTTCCTCTAGTACCAAATTATGGTGCCTAATGTCTTCCTCTAGTACCAGCTTTCTATCAATACACGTAATCCTTCTCAAAACTTGTTTTAGTGTTGCCAGATCGCAACACTTCTGATTTTGGTGTTGCCAGATGTTTTTCCTTATTCCATACTTGCTTTATTCTTCATAAGTGCTTAGCACCATATAAGGAAATTTATAAAGATCTTTTAACTAAGCAATCTAAAATAACATATTTTTTGTAAAAGGTAGAGCATGGATCTGAAGATAATGCAGAAAAATGCTCAGAGGATAAGGATATCTTGCCAAAAAGAAAACACCCTTCGTTAATAGTGCTTAGTGATGACGAAGAAAACATTGTTTAATTTATATTAATATGTATCGCTTAAGAAAATTTTAATAAGGATATTTATCTTAATTATGAAAATATAATAGCATGTTTTTTAGTTTTTGGAACCTAACCCCCCTTTTCGTACTAGTTCTTTGTTTTGCATAACACGGCAATTTTTTGGAACATAACTCCCATTTTATATAAAGGTTACCTGTACTGATTGAAGCAAACTGTCGAACAACACGTGAAATCACTAAGAGATTAGATTTATCAAATTGAACTGTTTATGATTACTTGAAACAAATTGGTTTTGTTTCAAAGCTTGATATATGGGTTCCACATGTTCTTAAAGAGAGATACTCTCTTTGGTGGAATTTTAAGGAAATATTTTTTGGCGCTTTTACCAGACAGTTTAACAATTGATTCAAAAGTGTACTGCCATCGAATAAACAAATTGAGTAATATCATCAAACAGAAAAGACGGCCAAAATTGATCAACAAAACAGGTTAGTGTTTTACCATAATGTCAAATTTCACACAAGTTTGGTAACTGGTCAGAAACTGTTATAACTTAGATGGGACATGCTATCACATCAATCATATTTGCCAGATCAAGCACACTCAGATTATTACTTGTTTTGGTCTATACAAATTTTTTTAACTGTAAGACATTTACTTGAAATGGCAATGTCAAAAATGTAAGCAGTAATCAAAACTTTTATGAATGCAAAATCATGCTATTACCAGAAACGATGATAACAGGTATTTGACCAAAATGGTCGATATATAATTCAATAAAATATTTATTTATTATAAAAATATTGTATTTTTTCCACGGAAAAAAACGAAATTACTTTCCGAACAACCCAATATGATGTATATTNAGACATTCTCGGAGTGAGAATTAAATTTTATTATCAATATTTCGTCTGTTATTTCTTAATTGAAAATGTTTTCGATACAATGGACATTTTCTCAAGTACTGTATATGACCAGCACGATGACTAGTCATTATATATACAGTACGGACGTATGGATGGGGGAATATAGTAAACGTTTCCCTTACGAAAGGGAGAATAATTATCATAAATATAAGAATATAAAATAGTACAAAATTTCGACTTAAACTCCGCTTTATCCGATGACGTCACCGACTTCAAACATTTTGGCGGGATACCCTGCTCGTACATTTGTGACTCCCGTTACTAAAGTAGTAATTTCAAGATGGCGTCGAGTATAGGTTACTCCTTATTTGACTACGATTGGTAAGGTTTTAGTCGGGAATCGTGGAGAACGTTAACTAGTACATATATCAGGAAGTAAAAAATGCAGTGATATTAAAAGACATTTAATTATATGCAATGTTTCTTTAGAATATAATCGAAGATCAATCTTAATGTTGGATTGTCTGTTGTGATAGTTGATGTTAAGCCTCGTTGGAAGATCGTTTGGTTTCGTTGGGGAAAGAAAAAATGGATGAATGAAACAGTATTACAAGTTTATTATTTGTTAGGTACGTTCTTATTTAATTACCTTTATTAATTTCTCACCATTTCAAAATTGTAATCGCCTATCGCGCGTTTGTTTACCGATAACGGCTCATCAGATACGGAGGAGTGGCGAGTGCTTACTCTTCACATAAACATTGGATGAACGTAGACTACATTCGAAAGATGATGAAAAAAATACACCAAACAATAATATTCAATCATGTCTTTCGCTTTTATTTATTAATCACCGTGTCATTACCGCTTTGTAAACACATCTGGATGAATGAGGTAGACAAAATGGCAAGGTGATACATGATTACAATTATTCCCATTTTATAATTAACCTCTCTTCATTGTTCACATTTTATCTATTTTATGAAATTTACTTGCATTTTTCATTCTTTTTATTGTATTTTTTTTTTCTAATTCTATAAAGGTACATTTCTATATAAAAATTTTGTAGATGTGATTTTACATTGTTACATGATTTAACTTACCAATTACAAATATCTTGTATATGATTTGATTTTGTAGTTAAAGTAAATGTCAAATTACTCCATTTTGTTACTCTATAATAACATTAATTATAAATTATGAATAAATGCTTGAGATTTGAATAATTGATTTTTTTATTGTAAATATTTTTTAATGGACAAATGGTCCCTATTATAAATTGATTTTCTATTACGATATATTTGATTTACAATATTACTATATCGACATTTTAAAATTTATGTATGCTGTTTTTAAGAGTTCGTAATATAATAATTATTGGAAACACGTAATAGAACATTAAACGTTTGAAGCACTTCTATAAGATTCGTAATTAATTTAAGGTAACGGAAAAATTAACTAACAATTTTTCCTATATTGTTTACTTATTTCGCTATGAAATGAAATTTAACTTTATTGTTAAATTTATTACCGATTTCTTACTTGCACAATAAACAAAATATATGATTGATTGACCCTAAGTTACGTCATAATTTAATACTGATTGTGTTTATAATAAAATTCAAATCACAAGTTACTATGAGGTTGTGTAGATTATGTAATATTGTAAGAATATAGAACTTTATAAAATGAATCAATATAATTAAGCTGTTAATTTAATTGTGAAATTAATTTTATTTATTCATTTCTAAGTCTCATTGTTCAGATATTTTGTAAAATTAAAAAATTTTCTTATAATTGTTGATATTAATTATTTTTTAAAAAATTCATTAATTAAAAAGTGTTTTTTTTTTGAATATTTACAGTTTTAGGTTA